ATATATTTTATTGATTTTTTACAGAGAGGAAGGGAGAGGGATAGAGAGTTAGAAACATCAATGAGAGGGAAGCATTGATTAGTTGCCTCCTGCACACCCCCCACTGGGGATGTGCCCGAAACCAAGGTACATGCCCTTGACTGGAATCGAACCTGGGACCTTTCAGTCTGCAGGCCGACGCTCTATCCACTGAGCCAAACCGGTTTGGCATGTGCATCTTTATTAATATGTTAAACAACATCTAATGATGTGTCTAATGTCCATAATTTTATTTTTTAATATATATTTATTTCAGAGAGGAAGGGAAAGGGGGAGAGAGAGAGAAACATCAGTGATGAGAGAGAATCATTGATTGGCTGCCTCCTGCACACCCCACACTGGGAATTGAACCATGACCTCCTGGTTCATAGGTTGACGCCATGCGGGCTGAGCAATGTTCATAATTTTAAAGTAGTAATGAATATAAATATTTTGAGATCAGCAAATTGTAACATTAAGATTTTTTTCACTTTTATAGGTCACAAAATCTCAGGTACTATAATACTGCTGCTTTTTTTGTTGTTAATCTTCACCCAAGGATATTTTTTCATTGATTTTTTAGAGAAAGTGGAAGGGAGGGAGGAAAGGAAGGGGGGGGAGAGAACAAGAGAGAGAGAGAGAGGGAGAGAGAGAGAGAGAGAGAGAGAGAAGGGAGAGGGAGAAAGAGAGAAAGAGAGAGATACCGATTGGTTACTTCCAGCACATGCCCTGACCTGGGCAGGGATGAACCTGCAACCCAGGTTTGTGCCCTTGACCAGGGATCGAACCCACGACCCTTCGGTCCTCAGGCCGATGCTCTGACCACAGAGCCACACCAGCCAGGGCATATTGTTGCATTTTTTTCCTGCTTTCATAATTAAAAGGAATGCTAAATTTTAGTAGAACATAGTGAAAATAAATTGAAATGATTTTTCCATCCATATTCTTAGACTCTGAATTCTATTAATGGGTACCTTGTGGTTCTGTGGACCACAGGTTAATCTGCATTAAAAACTCTTTGTGCCCGGCTGGTGTAGCTCAGTGGTTGAGCATCGAACCAGGAACCAAGAGGCCACCAGTTCGATTCCCAGTCAGGGCACATGCCCAGGTTGTGGATTCGATCCCCTGTGGGAAGCATGCAGAAGGCAGCTGATCCATGATGTTTCTTTTTCATCGATGTTTCTATCTATCTATCCCTCTCCCTTCCTCTCTCTAAAAAAACCAATAAAATGTATTTAAAAAAACACACACATCAAAAACCTCCTAGTTTCTTTTTTTAAAAGAAATTGTTAATAGATTTTTGCAATTTGCATTTATTTATTAATTTATTTTTTTAAAATATATTTTATTGATTTTTTTACAGAGAGGAAGGGAGAGGGATAGAGAGTTAGAAACATCGATGAGAGAAACATCGATCAGCTGCCTCCTGCACATCCCCAGTGCATGCCCAAGGTACATGCCCTTGACCCGGAATCGAACCTGGGACCCTTCAGTCCGCAGGCCGACGCTCTATCCACTGAGCCAAACCGGTTTGGCATGTGCATCTTTATTAATATGTTAAACAACATCTAATGATGTGTCTAATGTCCATAATTTTATTTTTTAATATATATTTATTTCAGAGAGGAAGGGAAAGGGGGAGAGAGAGAGAAACATCAGTGATGAGAGAGAATCATTCTGCAATCAAGGTACATGCCCCTGACTAGAATCGAACCCGGGACCCCTCAGTCCCCAGGCTGACCTCTATCCACTGAGCCAAACCAGTCAGGGCTCTCTTTGTTTCTTTATCCTGTGCCCTTCCCTAGGGAAGTAAACAGAAGGTGGTAGAAACCCAGCCTCAGAAGTTTCCTTGTGCCTGAAGGACTATCCCACGGGGTGGGAGGCAGTCTAACCCTGTTTTCTAAAGGTTAGCTAGGCATCCAGTCTTGAGTTTTGACCATCTAAACAGTCCTGATTTGCTCTGTACAGCGCCTGACAGAGAGTCACATGCCAGGGGACAAACTGGCTTAGTTTTAAAAATGTTATTTAGCATATTACCCCAATCTAATCAAGTTCTCAGCACCTTCATGGTAATAGAAGGAAGTTCGTGCTATGGAAATCAAAGGAAGTGATCGATACAAGAAAAGACTACAAATGAAGAATTTTTAGTTGACTGGATATAATTACAAAGCTATATAATTTTAAGAACTCTGGAAAGTAAAAACATGTTTTATTGTTTGAAATGGTAAACATTAGGAATCTGACTTAACTGATGAGTTAAAAGCATATAGCATCTTCAGAGTCTTCATAACATAATTTGAATAATTGGAATTTGAGAGCTCACCTCCCTTTCTTCAGGCTTGAACCAAACAGTAACTGTTAAGAGGCTTCTGGAGATTGTAGATACTTGAAAACATGTTTCTGGCTCATCTTTGTCTTGATGCATACTATCTATTGCTATGTAAAATTTTACCCCCAAAGTTAGGATCTTGAAGAAACAATTTTTATTTCAGGAATCTAGACATGGCTTAGCTGGTCGCCTCTGCCTCAAGGTCTGTCATCCCATTGAGGCTGCACTTGAAGGGTCAACTGAGGGAGGATCCTCCAAACTCTCTCCTGGGATTGTTGGCAGGTTTCAGTTCCTTACAGGCGGTTGGTCTGAGGGCTTCAGTTGACCTCCCTCAGTTCCTTGCCATGCGAGTCTATGCACAGCCACCACGTGGCAGTGGACTCCCCTCAGAGAGAATGGGAGAGGAGCACCTCAAATGGAATGGTGTTCTGTAACTTAATCTTGGAAGAGATCTTCTATCACTGTTGCCATATTCTGTTTGTTAGAAGTAAGCCACTAAATCCAGCCCATACTTACAGGGAAAAGATTATACAACAAGGTCATGAATACCAGGAGGCAGGGATCATTAGGGGTCCATCAGTAGCCGTTTACCACTACATAAGGACAATATTGGGAATAATTCATTGTTAATCAGACTTCACTACTGTTTGGTAGGTAAATTTTGACTTTGAAACTAAAAGTTACTGTTACTAGAAGATTTATATTGTCATTATTTCTCTTTATTTTCCAGAATAATCTGGGTATCTTGTGGTCTGAAAGAGAAGAAATTGAAACAGCACAAGCTTACCTAGACTCATCAGAAGCACTATATCTTCAGTATATGAAAGAGGTATGCTGCATGTCAGATAAATTTTAACATTTCATTGAAACTAGTCAAGAACTGATGTTAAGAATTCCTTACTCATAATATTTGTGTATGACTCCTCAGTATACTTAGGGACTTCTCTATAGAGCTGTCTAGGTGGTCACCTAATAGTTGTACTTGCAGACACTGTTATAAGTGATTTACAAATTTTAACTCATTTAATCCTCATGGCAATTTCTGAGGTGGATACTTTTATTATTCTTATTTTAGAGATGAGAAAACAGACCACAAGGGATTAAGTTACTTGTCTCCACACACTAGTAAATTGTGAAGTTGGGATTCTAATCCGCATAATCTGATTCCAGAACCCATACTTTTAACCTAGGCCAGGGGTGGGCAACCTTTTTGTGAGTGTGTGCCAAAACCAGCAAAATCTCTGGCTCAAAATTCTTCTGTGTGCCAACCCTAATTTTTTGAGAACATGTTATATCTACTTGATATCTCTTAAGGTGTACGTATATGAAGAACCTTGAAGAAATAATAAAATTCATTCGAGCGACAAAAACAATGATGATGAAAAATACATTTGTTTTTTAATGTATACATGTACACTGATAGTCTGACAGAAAACTTTATGACTCCGTTTGATATTATCAGTGGGACTTTTGCTGCTGCATCACTGATGACAGAGATTTTACATCAGGAACAGTGTAGTGTCAAAATGATGATAGCAGATAGAAGGAATGCACTGTAAGCAGAATGCACAGATTGAGCATTTTTATTTGCTTTGTCAGTTTATAATTATTATTATTATTATTTTCGTGGGGTGGGGAGAGCACAGACTTTGTATACATATCTGAGTTTGAATCCTGAACCTATTAACCGTATAGCCTTCTGATAAGTCATTCTGCTTCTCTGGGCCTCAGATTCCTCATATGTGAAATGGAAATAATGATACTTGCACCCTGTAGCATTGGTCAAAGAATGAACTAACATAGGTATAAGATGGTACTTGGCACATAGTAGGTGCTCAACTAAAACTGGTTTTACTCTCCTTCCTGCTCTCTCTCTTTAAAAAAAATTTATCTTTATTGTTGAAAGTATTAGATACACCCCTCCCCATTAACTCCCTCTACCCTACTCCTGTTCCTTCCCCAGTCCTTCACTGCACTATTGTCTGTATCCATGGGTTATGCATATCTATCTATATATATAAAAGGCTAAGTGTCCCTCTGACCGTCCGACTGGTAACTATGATGCGCACTGACCACAAGGGGGCAGACACTCAACACAGGAGCTGCCATGACACGCACTGGTTGGCACCACGGACCTGGCGCTGACAAACCAACACTTGGCTTCCCCCAAGTGGGACACAGGCCCTGCCACCACCCCAGAGTGACACCCCACCAAATCGCAGCCAATGCTGCCAAGACCCCATGGTGCAAAATGCGGCCCACAGCCCAGCCCAGCCCGGAAATGATTGCTGTGGGCGCCAAGTAATGACGTCAGGTAGCAACGCCTGGCTTCCTCTCCCTAGTGACTAGTCTCCTTGGAGTTTCTTCAGCCCAGGAACATGACTTGTATTATAGCCAGGTGCAAACATTTTACACTTTAACCAAATGTTTGTGAAGCCTTTTCTCGTGCCTCATCTCATTTGATCCTCACAGAAGTCCTGGAGTAGGTAGATAGGAGACTTGGTAGAATCCTATTTTCTTTTCATTAGCCGAAAAACGGAGATTTAGAAAGTTTAGAAACTTGACCCGACTGAAAGAAAGCAAGAAATGGTGGACCTTGAAAATGACTTCAGGTTTTCTCACTGCGTAGAATATAGTCAAACACTGCTACAGTTAAATATTTTACCCTTCGTTCTCCCTGTGTGATCTACAATAATAATTTGCTTTGTGTTGATATTTACTGCTGTGTTGCTGATAATTACTTGAAAGAGAAGTTGGGGTGCTTCACTGGGCTGGAAACAGTTTAGCTAAATCAGAAAGCAGTTCTAATTAAGCAAGTTTATTCTATATATATAAAAGGCTAAGTTGACTCACGCATGCATGATACATACAAAGCTCTCGGGGGCGCCAATCGCACATGTGTGTTTCGATCTGTCATTGTCGATAGTGAATTTGGTTGACACTTCTATTATAGAGAAAGGGCGAATAGCGATATTAAAATATTTCTTCTAATTAATTTCCTTTCATTGTGCACGAATCCATTCACTAGGCCTCTAGTATGCATATAAGTTCTTTGGTTAATTTCTCACATCCCTCCTTTTCCCTCTGAAATGCATCAGTCTGTTGCATGCTTCAGTGTCTCTGGGTCTGTTTTATTCAGTTTATTTTGTTCATTGGATTCCACATATAAATGAGGTCATATGATACTTGTGTTTCTCTGACTGGCTTATTTCACTTAGCCTAATACTTTCCAGGTTCCTCCATGCTCTTACAGGGTAAGAGATCCTTCTTTTTTACACCTGCGTAGTATTCCTTTGTGTAAATGTACCACAGCTTTTTTATCCACTCATCTGCTGATGGGCACTTGGGCTGTTTCCAGATCTTAGCTATTGTAAATTGTGCTGCTATGAACATAGGGGTACATATATTCTTTCTGATTGATATATTAGGCTTCTTAGAATAGATTCCTACAAGTGGGGTCACTGGGTCAAAAGGCATTTTTAATTTTTTGAGTAAACTCCACACTGTTTTCCATAGTAGTTGTACTGCTTTGTCAGTTTAATTTAGAATATGTGTTTATAAGCAATTAAAGCTTTTTTCCCTGAGGAATATATCCCCAAATTGGAAAATTTTAAAAGTCATGGCTCTTCTGTCTTGGTGTTATAACTTTCCTCCTTAAGAACTAAGAAGAGCAGAGAACCACAAAGCCAAATTGAGATTTTAGTCTCTGTTTATGATTTTAGGCTCTCACTCTTAATATATGAATTTGTTAAATTAAAATGTAAAGATACCAAAAACCTATAATATTACTTTCAAACCTAGTATTAATAAGGAAACATAAAACATGTAGCAAAACACTGTGTACTTAAAAAATGTTTTTATTGATTTAAGAGAGAGAGGAGGGATGAAGGAAAGAGAGAGAGAGAAACATCAATCACCTGCCTTCTGCACACCCCCTGCTGGGGATCGAACCAGTGACCTTTTTGGTGCATGGGATGACACCCCACCAACTGAGCCACACAGTTCAGGCCACTCTATTTTTATGCCTCTGTTTTAGTTAAGAGACTGATTTAACTGCCAGTGTTACACATAAAGTGTGATAGTCATAACAGTGAAGTATGTACATAAAATAATACATTGACTAATTCCCCTCATTAAGACAGGGGTAAGCATACTAAACAGCCCTTAAAATTGTTGAGATGGTCTTTGCAGAATTAATTAAAAATCTATTGTGTTTGTCTTTGGCCTTGCTTCCTATCTTAGTCATTTTCACTTTCTATGAATTCTAGGACCCCAAGTCATAATGCTTTTATTGTTTGCATACAAAATGTAAAATCAACCAGTGAATGCAAAAATAAGTGGAACAACAAATCGATGTTTCTCTCTCTAAATCAATAAAAAATTTTAAAAAGAGGGTAATCTATATACTTGTATCCTTGAGGAAAAAAATATTAGAAAAATTATTTAAAACTTTGATTTTTCATTAATGGTCAGTTTAGAACAATATTACTCTAAGGATGTATACATTTTTTTCTATTTGTCATGCTTATGTAGGTTTTAAAAGAATATCAGACAGAATTAAGACAAAATACCTAGTGGGGCTAGAGGGGCACGGTGGAGGGAGTCAATGGGGGAAAAAAGGGCACATCTGTAATACTTTCAACAAGAAAGATAAATTAAAAATAAAGACTTAAAATACCTAAAAATTATTTATCTAAAAGCAGGGTGTGTTTTTTTTTTAGTTTATTTGAAGTTCACCTGAAACAGCCATTAAAATTTTGTCAAGTGTGAGCTTGTAGGAAATCTTTTAATTCTTTGACTCTTAGATTTTATGGGTTAAGAAAATTACTTCTTGGGTAAAATGAATTTCTTCAGTCCTTCCAGAAGAGGGCGCTTGGTGTTTACAGTGAAATTTTAGAGTTGTTTTTCTTTGATTGTAGATTGGGAGTCCTCCTCTTGATCCTACTGAGCATTTTCTTCCTGAAGAAGAGAAACTTACTGAACAAGAGAGATCAAAAAGGTGAGTAGGTATAGAAATCAGCCCTCACAGACATTTTCACATAGTGTAGATGATCCATTTCCAGAAGAGGGCGCTTGGTGTTTACAGTGAAATTTTAGAGTTGTTTTTCTTTGATTGTAGATTGGGAGTCCTCCTCTTGATCCTACTGAGCATTTTCTTCCTGAAGAAGAGAAACTTACTGAACAAGAGAGATCAAAAAGGTGAGTAGGTATAGAAATCAGCCCTCACAGACATTTTCACATAGTGTAGATGATTGTTAAAAAACATGTTTTCTCTTTCAAGGCACTCATAAAAGTTCTAGAATGTGGATTCTGAAACGGATTAAAACCTTCATTTGCCACTTATTTAGATATGTGACTCTGTTCATATCTAAGGATCAGTTTCCTTATCTGTCAATTAGCCATACCCGATTTAAAGGGTTGGTGAGAGGATTAAGATACATATATATGAAAGTTCTGTATAAATTCACTTATTTAGATATGTGACTGTTCATATCTAAGGATCAGTTTCCTTATCTCTCAAATAGCCATACCCGATTAAGGATTAAGATACATATATATGAAAGTTCTGTATAAATTGTAAACCATTATGCAAATACTGGTTTTTTTCTTCATAGATTTGAGAAGGTTTATACTCATAACCTATATTACCTGGCTCAAGTCTACCAACATAAGGAAGTGTTTGAGAAGGCTGCTCATTATTGCCACAGTACCCTAAAACGCCAGCTTGAGCACAATGCCTACCATCCTATAGAGTGGGCTATTAATGCTGCTACCTTGTCACAATTTTACATCAATAAGGTAAGCTTTTTGAAGTTGTTTCTAACAAAGTTACCGATAGAGTATATGAAATATAGACCAAATAGTACCTTGAAAATATAATCTTTTAAACTCGGTATCTTAGGGACATCTGTAATAGAATTCAACGACGACAACAACAAAAGCATATCCACACAACTGGCATCCAGCTAGAATGGCATGGGCCTTTGTGATAGTTTTAACCAAAAAATGGGATATAAAGTAGCCAACCAGTAGCCCATACTCTCATCTCAACAGCAGTAACAATAAGAACTTATAATTAAACCTTGAAAAAAATAGGTAGCTTATATTTTGATGTAAACTAGACAGAAAAATACAGCCCAGTTTGCCAGTGTGCTAAAATTTTGTAGCTTTTGTTGCATTAATCTATTGAATCTTAAAATACCGAGTTTTATCATTATCTTACATGTTTCTAGCCTCTAAAATTACGTTACCTAAGACCAATTCTTTTTTGTTAGAAGCATGCTTTCTCAATTCATTTTAGTGAGATGTTACCTTAAATTGCAGATTTTGTAGATATAACTTTATCTTTAGACAATTGTAATCTGCTGGCTATGAGAATTTGAGGAAGTTGACTGTTAAATGTGGGCTTTGATAAAAGCATGTGATGCATTTCAGTTATTTAGAATTTCTTTATAATAATTTTTCTATATTGGGAATATCTCTGCTCAGTTCCAGAGTTCCAGGTCTTTATGATATACTTCACAGGGACTTTTAGCTTTTTAGTTGTTTATCAAAATTATTAAGAATCATGTTGTATACTTTTAATTGACTTATTTGTTCCTCTATTCAAGATCTTGTTTTTAATGCTAAAACACTTTTAAGCCACCTTTCCCAGCTAGATATTTTGTTAATCCACAATCGGATATCTCAGCAATAGAAATTACTTTTATTTGTATTTCTGACTCACAAGCCTCTCTGAAGTTTTGGTAATTTTTGCTTATCAGAGTTCCTTCTTAGATCTCTGGTTGCCTGCTGTGATATCCTTACTGGGCCTTTATCCTTTCTAAGATTTTTGTTAGTGCTGATTCTGTAAATGCACCCTAAGTTTAAAGTATTGTCCCACAGAATTTCATTCAGAAAAGCTATTAGTAGGAGAGAAAGGGCTGTGGTGACTGCAGCACTGCTTCTAGGACTATGGTCTAAGTAAGTAATGCTGCTGCATATATCAGAGCATTCAGTTAAATCTAACTCATGTATCCATTTCATTGTGGCCATCATCAAAAAGTGTTATCTTGTGCCTCTGCTTGTGGCACCATTTTTATAACTTCTGGGCGTCTCTTATTTGTTTTGTTTAAAGTTACATATTCATTGATTATCACTTAAAACAATGTTGGTATTGATAATACTTAGATATCTAGATATTAAAGTGTAATTTAAAATATAAAGTTGTTAAACATTGCTTACGTGGAGCATGCAGTAGTTTTCATGAGTACCTCCACTACCTTGTGCTTTTATTTTTTTACCAAGATGGTTTATAAGTTTTTGCTACAGCTGGTTAAGTTGTATTGCAAAGAGAGAGATTTGAACCATGTTTTTAAAAAAGCAGCTGTCATTTATATCATCCTCATCTTCATCTGGTTCCAGAGATGAGGTTTTGCTACTTGGTGAGTCCCTACCTGGCAGGTGCTAGCGTCCTACTTTAGCAGCCACCTGAGGGCACAAAGCAAGACACTCGCTGTTCTAGTAGTGGTTGCTCACAGGGACCACGCTGGAGAAAGCTGAAGTGGTAATGAAGGCTGAGGGATTGTGGAGGGACAATTAAAGCTGTTTATGTAAATGAACTTTTGTTTTTTTGAGGTTTAACACTAACACTTTGCTCTGTAGATGTTGCTGGGCTAATACTACACATGTCCCCAGATATTCTCAAGATGGCTTCTGAATTTGCCATTAGGGAGGGCTACATTCAATGTTGAGATTATTTAAAGTCATAGCTAACTATTAAAAATCTTCTTAGCAAAATCAGGTAGGTATATCTAACATGAAGTAGACATATTTATGAGGATGGCTTTCAACTAAAAGTTGGACTTGAACTTTGTACTTTTGCTGGGTGGTCCTGTGACTTACATGATAAATGCAAAGTGTTCACATTTACAAGGAGATCTTCTCCAAGCATTTGAGAAGTTTACTATGCCCAGATTTGAATTATGAAGTCTTCAAATGTGTTGATAAAGCAGTTTCGTAAAGTTTGTCTGTGGAAAGTCGTTGACTTCAAAACTTGGTGGGAATTCTCATAAATTTGAAGATTTTTAGAAGACAGGAATCTCTTCCTATCATTTATTATTTTTGCCTTTGAATGGTAGGACAGAAAAGGGATCTCTAAACCTAAACAAAATCAAATCTTTAAGTCCTCTGACAAAATGTAAATGGTCTAAGAAGTTATCGTGCATGTAACTTTGTGTATTTGGGCAGAACCTAAAGATGATCTGAGGCACTTTGAGTCTATGATGATAGCTATTGTTGTATACTTACTGATTACCTGAGGAGAATCAACTCAGTCAGCAGCTGTCTTCCAGTCAGTTTGGATTATTAAGAGTTTGGGGGGCCCTAACCGGTTTGGCTCAGTGGATAGAGCGTCGGTCTGCGGACTGAGGGGGTCCCAGGTTTGATTCCGGTCAAGGGCATGTACCTTGGTTGTGAGCATATTCCCAGTGGGGAGTGTGCAGGAGGCAGCTGATCGATGTTTCTCTCTCATCGAAGTTTCTAACTCTCTATCCCTCTCTCTTCCTCTCTGTAAAGAATCAATAAAATATATTAAAAAAAAAAAAGAGTTTGGGGGTATTGTACTTCTTTGAGGCAGCCTTGTAACTCGATAATACCATAACATGTCTTATATACCTTCTTAATGTTCGGCGACTATACAGGGTCTCCTTAGTGGTTTTTACTGATTTTAATAGCTTTTCCCATATCAATTGCAAATAAGGCTGTGGGACAGTTGCATTTACTCTTGTTTATTTCCTTAACAGCAATGCTTTATGGAGGCCAGGCACTGTTTATCAGCTGCTAATGTCATTTTTGGTCAAACTGGAAAGAACCCAACCACAGAAGACAGTAAGTTTATGTGTACATGTTTTATTATATATAGCTTTTTAAAACTTTATTTTAAATAATTTAACTTTAAAAAATTCAAGAACAAAACAAAAAACTACCCACTAGTATATGACCTTCTAAATTCACCTGTTTTTAATATTTGTCTCATTTGCAGTCACATTTTTTTTGTTTCTGAACTATTTGAGAGAAGATTGCATACATTAGGCTCCTTTACCCCTTAATACTTCAATTTGTATTTAAGAAGGATGTTTTATGTAATCATAGAAAAAGAAACGATACAATTCTTTTATTTGTAATGCATATTGTTTCATTAATTGTCCTCATAATGTCCTTTATAGTAGTTCTTTTCTAGTACCAGAATATCCAGTTCAAGATTGCTTATTGCATTTAGTTTTCACACCTCTTTAGTCTTTTTAAATCTGGAATGTTCCTCAACCTCTCTGTCTTTCATCATATAGACATTTTTGAAAAATACAGGCCAGTCATTTCATAGAATTTTCATCAGTTGGTATGTTGATGTTTTCTTACACTAAGATTCAGATTACAATAGTACCCCCTTACCTACAGGGGGTACGTTCCAAGACCCCCAGTGGATGCCTGAAACTGTGGTTAGTATTGAACTCTATATCTACTGTGTTTTTTTCTTGTTTATACATACCTACTATAAAGTTTAAACTACTCTTGTGCTTTGGGGCCATTATTAAGTAAAATGAGGGTTACTTGTACACAAGCACTGTGATACCAGCAGTAATCGATCTAGGTGACTACTAAGTGACTAACAGCAGGTAGTGTTTACACAGCGTGGATACACTGGACAAAGGGATGGAATAGGACAGTATGAGATGTCATTACACTACTAAGAATGGCATGCGATTTTAAAACTTATGAGTTATTTCTGGAATTTTCCATTTAATATTTCCAGACCATTGTTGAACTCGGGGAACTGAAACCATGAAAAGCAAGACCACAGAAAAGGGGGCACTGCTATATACATTTTTGGTTGGAATACTACATACGTGATGTGTCCAAATAACTAGTTTTTTAATTAGTGTTTTATTTAGTCTTAAAAACCACAGTAAACATTTATATTTGAGCAAATCAATGAGATATCACCTCACACTTGTTAGATCAAAAAGTCATGAAATAAGTGTTGGTGAGGATGTGGAGAAAGGGTACCCTTGTGTACTTTTGTGTAAATTGATGCAGCCACTGTGAAAAAACAGTATGGAGGTTCCTCAAAAAATAAAAATAGAGCTACCATATGAACCAGCAGTTCCACTTCTGGGTATATATCTAAAGGAAAGGAAAACACTAACCCGAAAAGTATCTGCACTGCAGCAATATTTATAATAGCCAAGATTGGAAGCAACCTAAGTACCCATGGATGAATGGATAATGAAAATGTAGCATACATGTACAATGGAATATTATTTAGAAGGAAATATTTTTTTTAGAGAAAAGTACAAACTTCCAGTTTTAAAATAATTAAATCATGGGGTTGTAATATATAGCATGGTTAACTGTATTACATATTTGGAAGTTGCTAAGAGTAAATCTTAAAAGTCCTCGTCACAAGAAAAAAAATTTTGTGACTGTGTGGTGATGGATGTTAACTAGACTTGTGATCATTTTGCAATATGCAAATATCGAATCACGTACATCTGAAGCTAATATAATAATATATGTCAATAATACCTCAATTAAAAAATACTTCCCATTATAAAATCTGTAACATGCTTAAACAGGTCCCTGAACACATTTTAGTAAGTTATCAATCCAGTAGCTTTTACTTTCAAACCTTAAGGAATTCAAGAACCCATTTCTGTAAAGGAAAGATTAAGGACTTCATATCTAAGTACAGGTTCCAAAGTACAGATAGTCCTCATTTGTGGATTTCATATTTGGGAATTCACCTACTTGCTACAATTTTCTTGTAACCCCCAAATCAGTGCTCAAGGCACTTCTGCGGTCATTTGCAGACATGTGCAGAATAGCAAAGAATTTGAATTGTCCAAGGTGCACCAGTTGAGGTTTCAGCTCTCATACTGTAAAACAAGTGTCCTTTTTGTGGTCTATTTATAGTGACATTTTTGTGCTTTTTGTTGGTGATTTCATTATTTATAATGGCCCCCAGATGTAGTGCTGAAGTGCTGTCTAGTTTCCTCAGCACATGAAGGCTGTGATGTGCCTTATGGAGAAAATACAGTGTGAAATAAGCTTCATTCAGACACAAGTTTATAGTGCTGTTGGCCGTGAATTCAGTGTTAATGTATATTAAATAAGGTGTCTTTAAATAAACACTTGTATGATAAGGTTATATATTGATCGGTTGACAAAAATGTGACCAGAAGCTCATAGGAACCTAACCCTGTATTTCCTGTAGGAGCAATGTTTCAGTATTTGCTCATTTATTGTTCACAGTGACTTTATAGAACATAACTACATGAACAGTGAGAATCAACTGTTTCCCTATAAGAGAATTCAGGTAGAAAGTTTTACCGTTTAAAAATCCCTTTTTCTACTGAAATGAATGTTCATCTGAAGGAGACAATCTAAGCCACTGGTAACTTACATCAGTGCCGTCCTTCTGTGTCGCTCAGAGGAGAGTTGATTCTCTCCCTGTAGAACTGGTCAGTGCTTCTGTTGTACTGGGCATTGGTGGTGTTGATGGCACACCCTTATTGATGGAAACTACAGAGGAAAGTATGTGGATTAATAACTATACTGTTATTTCATGTTATAAAGGAGTTTTTAAAATACTAGTGAAAACCAACATAATTTAAACCAAATTTATTTATAATTTTAAAATTTTTCCTTGCAAAAGGGAACACCTTCCACAAATGTAGCAATATTTTGATAAAGCTAGACATAGGACTCATGTTACAAAATTAAATAATTGGCCCTTTATTAAACTGCCACCATCATTCTGAACATTATTTTGGAGGATGCTTTCCACTAAAGACTACTTTTAATTCATTAGAAATCTATTTCAATTTGGATTCCCCTAATTTGGAATTTTTGATAAGTTGGTTAGGAGCTATGCTAACCTTCACTTGTTTAGCACTATTCTTTATTAACAGAAACCACAACATAGGGAAGGTGGTAAAAGCAAATGTTTAAATAATTAGAGGAAACTGCTTTTCAACTACCTCATAAGGATTCATTTATAGACATGAAATATAAAGTTCATATTTTTATTAAAGTAGGTATTCTAAAAACCTGTATGAGTGATGCTTTTCTTAGTCCAATTTGATTAATAATGATGTTGAGCACCTACATGTACCATATCCTGTCCTAAATTCATTGTGGGTATCATTTCATTAAATCCTCATAACAATAATCTCTGACAGTCACTGTTATATTCTGTACTTTATAGATAGGCAACTGGAGCACAGAGGGCTCCCAACAGCTGCCCAGTGTCACACATAGTGAAGGGCAGAGGTGGCATTCAGACGCAAGCAGGATGGTTCCAAGCCCAGAACTCCACTGCTTGAGCCAAAAGACCACTAACTTGACCCTTCCCTACCTCGTGCCCCTCCAACTTCCTCCACTGGCTGGAGATGAAAAAGCTCCTCTCTGGAGGGTTGGGGATTTAGGGGGGGGGGTGCGGGGCAGGAGACTCTGCAACCTTGGGAAGGCTTGGAATTAAGGCTCAGATGAAATTAAACTTGGGCCCTGGCCAGTGTGGCTCAGTCGGTAGGAGCGTCATCCTGTACACCAAAAGGTCTTGGGTTCAATTCCTGGTCAGAGCACATACCTGGATTGCTGTTTCAATCCCCGGCCCCAGTCCAGGTGCTTATGGGAGGCAACCGATCAATGTTTCTCATATCGATGTTTTTATCCCCACCCCCTCTTAAAAATCAATGAAAATGTCCTCGGGTGAGGATTTAAAAAAAACTTATACTCAGTATTAAGTTTGGGAACAAGTCTGTGATCATGATAATAAACATTCGTTTCTAATAAGATGCTTGAAATATCTAAGACATGCATTTTGAATAGGGTAAAATGGTTTTGTAGAGCCTTAGCTGGTTTGGCTCAGTGGATAGAGCATCAGCCTGCGGACTGCAGGGTCCCAGGTTCGATTTCAGGTCAAGGGCACCTACCTAGGTTGTAGTCTTGATCTCTGGCCCCAATCTCTCTCACATCAATGTTTCTCCTTCTCTTTGTGTCTCCCCCTCCTTTTACACTCTAAAAATCAATGGAAAAATATCCTAAGGTAAGAATTAGCAGTAACAATAAAATAAAAGTTTCTTGGGAAGTGAAAAAAAATTATTTTTAAATCTTTACCTGAGGATATGCCCATTGATTATTTATTTATTTACAAATATATTATTATTGATTTCAGAGAGGAAGGGAGAGGGAGCGAGAGATAGAAACATCAATGTTGAGAGAGAATCATTGATTGGCTGCCTCCTGCACGTCCCCTACTGGGGATTGAGTCCGCAACTGTGAATTAGACCAGGACTTCCTGGTCCATGCTCAACTACTGAGCCACAAAGAGTGGAAGAGGAAAGGATAGAGAGTGTTTGGGAAGAGAGAGAGAGATGTGAGAGAGAACCATTAATTGGTTGCCTTCCGTACATGCCCCAACCAGGGATTGAACTTACAACCTAGGTATGTGTCCTGACTGGGAGTTGAACCTGCAACCTTTCATATATGGGGACAATGCTCCAACCAACTGAGCCACACTGGCTAGGGCAAAAATATCTTGCTATTATAAATGGTGGCAATAAAAAAGGGGGCGGCACCCTGGCTGGTTTGGTTCAGTGGATACAGCATTGGCCTGTGGACTAAGGGGTCCTGGGTTTGATTCCAGTCAAGGGCACATGCCTGTGCTGCAGGTTCGATCCCCATTAGGGGGCATGCAGGAGGCAGCCAATCAATGATTCTCATTATTGATGTTTCTCTCTCCCTTCCTCTCTGAATTAAATAAAAATATATTAAAAAGGGGGTGGGAATCTTTGTGATAATATAGGTGGACATTGAAGGCATTACGCTAA